AATTAATCAGTGTTTCTTCTTTTTATGGATAGAAAGTGATTAAAATTGAAAACGTATTAAATGTACCACATTGCACTCCAGACAGTGATTGTCATTTTGCTACTGCAACTTGCCTTTTGCGGCTCACATAAGTAAGTGGACGGTCTTATTTAATTTTATAATTATTAAAACTATTAGTTCCATCAATATCCAACACTTCAATTAATCACGCAAAAAAAAGATAAATTAATTGGTTAGGAGAACAAAATTTCTAAACTCATCACAATGAATTGACGGCGCTTTTCTCCTAATCACAAACAGACTTTAATTCAAACAAATACTCCATCCCTTTGTTTTTAGTTGTCACTTGTCAAAATAAGATTTGACTTTTGTTTGATCTATGCTTTAGAACAAGTTAGAAAAAGATAACTAATTCTCTTGATTGTTTAAATTAATAACTATCATAAAATAAGTTTTTTTAATATACGTGATGATTATAAAGGAACTAAGAGAATAGTAAGAAGCAAAACCAAAGATCTTTTATATATTTGAAGTTTACTTCCTAGAGGAACTAAATAGAACATTACTCCCTTTTCCTCAAACTACTTGTCACGTGTTATTTCTTTATTGTCATAATTTAATTAATATTTTAAAATAAATTTTTTTAATATAAAAAAAATTATAATATTTTTATTATTATTTTTAAATATGATTTGAGACACGTGTCGTGAGTACGAAGTCTTCCCCATCGATATTTCAAAAGATAATAACTTTATTGTTGTTTTTTTTCTTTTCACTACCATGATTTTTTAAAGATACTGTCTTCTCACTTTTGGTTACGTGCCCAAATTTGTTTTAGTCATAATTTATGTCATCCAGCTTCTTTCTTGGCTACACAAAAAAAAAATAATTAAAATAAGATTATGTTACTTAAGTGACTTAACATGATTAGTTTACATTAATGTTGTACTTGTACATGGTCCTAGATGAAAATATTGTATGTAAATATAGTATCACATATTGTTCAAAAATTCGGAATAACCAAAATTCAAGCAAACTTAGCATAAATACTAAGGCAAATTACAGAAATCGCATACTTTTAAGGCAAAATTACAATTTTATCCCCTTTAAAAAGGTTTATAAATTTACAGAAATCTCTCAAACAGATACAATAATATAAGAGCTGATACATTAATCTGATGCGCGAGATACATTAATCGTTAAGTAAGATACATTACATTTTATACATGATACACTAATCTGATGTACATTTTATACATGACACTAATCTGATGCACGAGATACACTAATCTGATGCGTGAGATACACTAATTTGATGTGATAATACATTAATCTGATGCGCGAGATACACTAATTTGATGCGTGAAAATGAGGGATTTTGGAGATTTATAAAACTTATAGGGGATATTAGTAATAAGTAAACTAAAATGTGGGATTTCTGTAATTAATCCTAAATACTATTGTACATGTGTTGTACGTGTGTACATTTTTAATACTCCCTCTGTTTCTAATTATTTGTCCATATTTCTTTTTTTAGTTGTCCCTAATTACTTGTCCATTTTGACAAATCAAGAAAAGACAAAACAAATTTACCTATTATACCCTCAATTAATTACTTTGAAAAAGGTAAAACTTTTTGAAAATCGTAAGTTTTTAATTCATCCACTTCGTAATTAATAGAGATAAAATGATAAACTCACTATGTTAATTATTGTTTTCTTAATAGATGTGCAAATTTAAAAATAGACAAGTAATTAGGAATAGAGAGGTACATCAGTTTAATTTATACTCAATAATTTTTTTCGATTATATTTATAAAGAATAATAAGTTCAGCAGCAATAGTGACCCCATGTACTTTTTCTGTTTTACGAGTAATAAAACCAATGGCTCCACCGTTGCTGTCTTTTTCTCTTCATTTAATTTCCCTCATCTTACATTATTTTCGTAGGGGACACCAATTCTTTTTTATTCATTTTTTAACTGCTTTTTAAAGTTTAAACTGTTGAAGATTCCACTTCTACACTCACACTATGATGTTGATCTTCAAGCCATTTTTGGTTGAGATTAAAAGTGGAAATAATGAATTATAAAGAGCAATAAAATATTATTATAAATTTAAAATTTGAACTTTGTACTTTCCGATAATTCGCGTTGAGTTTATTAAACACATTTCTAATTTTATAATACGAGTAAAATATGTCTTTAATTTTTGGTAAAATTTAGGCGTATTTTTATCACTTCTCTCGACTTTTCATTAAGAGTCACATGTTCATACAAGTAAGTGAGACCACTTGCTATGTCATTTAGCAAATCGAAAGTGTATCTAACTTTAGTTAGTCAAGTAAATGAGTGTTTTAAGGCTGTCAAGAGTTCGGAAATAAAACTAATAATTTTCTCCAAGTTCAGGAGTGCTTTTTATACTTCTCTTACTTTTACTTTTACTTTTTTCCTACTTTAAGTATATATTATTAATTTTATTTGTCACTTTAACATATTTTAAAAAAAAGCAAAAAAAGTTTTATGTTTTATTCTTAACATTAGTTTCTTATTTTTCAAAAAAAAAAATCTAAAAATTATACTAAATATCAATTAATATGGTTATACGGTAAAAATACTCATATCAATCGTTGTTTCTTAAAACGTGTAAAGTGAACAAATAAAAGTGAGTGAATATATATATATATATATTTTATCTATTAAAGAAAGATTAAGGAAAAACTTATTTATTAAAAACAATAGAAAGAAATTCTAAATAAAAATAAAATAATAAAAATATATAATTCCGTGGGAGTATTTAACCTGTCTTGAAATTCCTAGTGGCACCGCCAGAAATCTGCAGATCAAACACAGACTCAAAGGTTGAAGGAATCTTAATATTCAATGACACAATTACCCCCATATATGTACGGAAATCTGAATCATATAGGGCTATTTCGGACAATTCCTCTTATGCTGGCATGCTGCTTTCAAATTCCAAAGTTTTTTTAATACTACTGCTTACCTACATCACAATTCACAATGATATCACAGTAATCGAGGTGACACGTGTATTTTTATAATGTCACATCTAAAAAGCATAAATTAAAAGGAAAAAAATACAAATTAATTCAAAAGGAAAAAAAAAGAAGAAGAAAAGTGAAAACGTTTACTGTAAGTTTATTTATTTTTAACGAAAAAAAAAGTTCTATTTTTCTAACTATAGTCGGAAATAGACTTTTTAACTACCAGCACCAATAATATGTTGACACAATAAGTAAAAAAAAATGAATAAATTTAGTAATAATTTAATCCTCCATCGTTATAAAATCATTTCTTAAAAATCTTTACAAAAATAAAATAAGAATAAGCTTGTGGGACATTTATTAGATGAAATTCCTTAATAACCAAACATTTGCTAAAGTTTTTTTCGATAAGTTTAACACAAAATGGGAAAATTCAATAGTAATGATCGATCAATCTTATTGTAATTGTATTTTTTTTCTTATACTATGAAGTTGTTTCTCAAAAAAGAATTGGACACTTGGAGATAATTACATATTTTTTTTCTTTTTTGTTATTCCCGAAATGAAAAATATGACTTTGTGTCTTTAAATTATGTAATTACTTTTGGGAAAGTTCTAGTGATGCAATATACTTATGGAAGATGGGAGAATAAAGCAAGTCCCTATTTGAATAGTTTGTTTTTATAAATATTATTTGCACTTATTATTTATATTAAAATATTATTAATTGAATTTAAATAGACATAAGTTAACCATTAAGTGATAAATATGGGTGTGAAAAGCTTTTACGCACCCTGTATTTGCTCCAAAATATTTTGTATGTGAATAAACATTATATCTATTAATTTAAATTAGAATAAATAATTATTTATCATCATTATTAAAAGAAGTGCAAAAAGTTTTAAAATAAAATAATGTGAACTGCAGTTACCTTTTATTATTGACGGATGCACGTGTTGCAATAATCTATTAATCTATTTACACGTAAAAGTTAGGAAATGATAGAAAGATATAACTCCTTAAATAAGTAAACTGTTTAAAGACAATATATATTTATTATGTGAAAATTTTTTAGGACACTCAACAATTTACTTATTTTAAAATAGAGAACATAACATTGAAGTTAATTAAAATGATTCAAAATCAAACAATAAATTTAAAATAAACTGAAAATTAGTAAAAAAAAAAGAAAAGAAAAGAAACAAAAGAAGAAATAATTCTCGTGGTCATCCACCAACATGGGTTGTGGTGCACTGGTGTGAGTGTTTCACCCTTGATCAAAAGTCTCGGGTTAAGTTTTAGGTATGGAGAAAATCTTGTTGGAAAAAATAATCAAGGTACGTGGGCTGAATTGAAATTTGGTGCAAGTTGGAGGATTAACGAGGTAAGAGAAGAAAATATAGTAAATGTTGTTGCTCCCCAGCTGGATCTAGACGGTCGTGGAGGTTTCTCTTCCCACCCCACATGTCCCTTTCATCCTTCTTACTTTTCTTTTTTTACACTATATTCCAAACTTCCTTTTTTATATTTCACTTTTTTTTTTCCCAATAAAAATGAACAAGTTAAAAACATTCTCAAAGTCTCACCTATGTGGTTAAAGATCCTCAATATGACATTATTTTATTATAAATTTATTTTATTCTTAATAAAATAATTTATATTAACATTGACTTAACCTCTTTGAAAACTTTAGTAAATAAATATGTTGTCAATTAATAGAGGTAAAATAGAAAACTCATTATATCAGTATTATTTTCTTAATAGGTGTTTCAAGTTAAAATTTGATAAATAAATTTAAATAGAGAAGTGTTTTATTAATTTATTGACTATATATATATATATTATTTTTATTTTTATTTTTTTTAATTACCACAATCCTAATATATAACGAGTGAAAAGTTATTTCGTATAAATTTGAAAGTAAAGTTGTAACTTTTTCGATTTGAACAATTTTTTTTAATATGTTGACACCCACTTTTTCTGCTATAAAATCCCGGCCAAAACACCTTCTTTAACCCCTCCTCTCTTTTCTCCTTCCTTTTCTCTCTAATTCTTCTTTCCTCTGTTTTTTTGGTTTCAAGTTTTTCTTGGAATCTCCACCACCCAAAATCTTCCAAAAAAGTTTTTTTTTTCTTCTACTAAACAAAATCATAAAAGGGGTTTTTGTTTTTAAATCTTTTAAACTAATCTTAATGCTACCCCAATTATTTTTAATTTTTGAAATTCATGTCTGCAATTCTGAGTGAACTGTTTCTTTCGGGGTTTATGATAAATTCCACATATAGGCGCAGGACCCATTTGGTGCAATCTTTCTCTGTTGTTTTTCTCTACTGGTTTTACTTCATTTCATAGCCCCGCCAGCTTAATAACTACTACTATTTTTATATAATTTTATTAATCTATAAAAATAAAAACTTAAATCTAAAAAAATATTTTTCATTCTGCTCTGTTTTTTTTAAATCAAAAACTCCATCTGGGTCCTGCTAATTTTAACTTTATTGAATATTTTTGGGTCATGGCTTCGTCAAGTGGTACATCATCAGGTTCATCGTTTTTACAAAACTCGGGTTCAGAAGAAGATCTTCAGCAATTAATGGATCAAAGGAAGAGAAAAAGAATGATATCGAACCGCGAATCAGCAAGAAGATCAAGAATGAGAAAACAGAAACATTTGGATGATTTGATGGGTCAAGTAACAAATTTAAGAAAAGAAAATAACCAGATTTTGACAAGTATGAATGTTACCACACAACATTATCTTAATGTTGAGGCTGAAAATTCAATATTGAGAGCTCAATTAAGTGAACTTAGCCGTAGGCTTGAGTCACTTAATGAAATCATTACAGTTTTGGATGCAAACAACAATTGTAATGGACTTGTCATGGACCACAATGAGCCTTATAGCTTCAATTTTGCACAAAATGACATTATGCTTGATGGGTTCAACGTGACCAATTCTTGGAATTATCTATCTGCCAATCAACCCATTATGACTGCCAATGTCTTGCAGTACTGACGTGGCAATATTAGTCGACCCAATGAATTTTAAAAAAAAATTAGTCAGATCATGGTTGATGAGGGAAAAAAAAAATCAAACAGAGAGAATCCTCTTTTTATGTATTATCATCATCAAGTAGTAGAAATATTAGTGATCTTGCTAAGATTTCTCTTTTGTCAAGTAGTAGTAGTATTATTATTTTATTAAGAATAAATCCTCTCGAGGAATATTGGTGTTCTTGTAAATGTGGGGTTTGTAATCTCATTTTCAGTTTCTCTTTCAGGACTTAATTATGCAGTTGTAATTGGAAAGTTTTTTTCTTGATTTGTAGTTATCGTAGTAGTATATTAATAACAATTTCAAAAATTGCTCCTTCTTTTACTTACTCGATGATTTAGTTTGGTTCACAGAATTAATTATCTCCTTGAGTTGTTTTGATAAAAATTTATTCGCAATAAATGAATACAAGATATATATTTTTGTACAAACTGGAGTATTTTTTATTAATTATGATTACGCGATACATATTTTTATTTTATTTTTAGCCTCTAAGCAGGATGGAGCTAGAGGGTCATTTTACTGATATAAAGATCTTTTTTTTTTTACATATCTAGATTAGATGATTAATCTTTTCCACGCCATTACTTCTAAAATTAAATTATTTGACTTGATGAAAATATGGATACAACTTCAAACAATGTTATGTTAAAAATATGAAATAGAATTAAATTATTTGACTTGATCAAGATATGGATACAACTTCAAACAATGTTATGTTAAAAATATGAAATATCTACTTATTGTATATTTACATTTTTCAATAACAATATTTTTGTTATTTCACTATAACAGTAAAAACAAAAAAAGTATTCAAACAACGATTGATAGGATGATATAAAGTTGTCTCTAAGAACATATTTTTTGAACAAGAATATATTGTTAGCAGAATCTAGTAAATAGTTAGTCATGTAACAAAAGTGGTTCATAGACACCACCCACAAATGATTTTTGAGATATTTTTGGCTTTGTTGTGATGATCATTGATTCTTCATACTAGGGTGTACAAGTCAAATTGAACCGACGAACCAACTTAAACCCAAAAAAAAAACAATTTGTGATTTGATTTGGTTGGTTTGGCATTGGGAAAAAAAAACGATCACTCTTGGTTTAGTTTGATATTCAAAGAAAAAAAGTCAAATCGAACCTAAACCAAACCGACATAATATAAATATATTTATTTTATTTTATTTATAGATAAAAAATATTATTTATAATCTATTTGTTAATATATTTTTAGTTAGTTTATAGTTTTCAATGTTTATATATATTATTTTAAATTTGGGCTTGTAAACCTTTGTAAATATTTTATTTTGTACTAAGATAAGAAATTACAATAATAATATTCAAATTCGTAGTTAACAATTTACTTTGTAAATATTTCTTTTTGTATTCAGTTTGATTGTAGCCTGTGATCTTATTAATTTAACATATTGAACGTTGATATTTCAAAAAAAAAAAAATTGTACTCATGTGAATTTTATCGTCTTTACGAAGATTTCTATTCGTTTAACATATTTTAAGTTTAGCTTATCACACAGGTAAGTGAAAATATATTTGATCTCTTTTTCAAACACTGTATAGTTGTAAAAAACCGAAAGAACCGACTAAAACTGAAATTGAAAAACTCGACTTTATGTGATTTAATTTGATTTTTAGATTTAATAAATCGACATAATTAATTTAAATTGTTTATAAAAAAAAAAAAAAAACCAAATTGACCTATATACACCCCCTACTTCAGACAAGTACAAACTACAATTGATCTGAGCAGTTACAGTCCAATTTTTCCTTCCTTTTTTTGGAAACACCCTCCCCACTAAATAAAATCTACAAAAGAATTTCATTATCATTTATATCAAATTATACATTACTTTTATTATTATTTAAAAACAAATAAAGATGAGCATATTTAGCAATCAATCAACTGAAAAGTTGATTGATACAAGTTTAAATAAAGAAGATGTCGTCTTGTCAATGAATTGATATATATAGCGTAACCACCACATATGAATAAATTTTAGAATTTTTATTTATTAGAACTTGAAGTTATCGTCTATGTATTAACACTTGAAGTTACCATCATGTAATTCCGAACCCATGAAATTTAAATTAAAGATTACTTCTACACACAAGTCTCTAGCCACCCAAAAAAGAAACCAAACAAATTTTGTTTTCCTAGTTACGTTGGAAACACTTTTAGCAATAATTGAGTTAATTCTAAACTTAAGGGTGTGTTCAGTATGGAGAAAATTATTTCATTCTTTTTATGTTCTATTTATTATATATTTTTAAAATTATTAGAAAAAATAAGTTGCTTAAGACTAGGAAAATGATTTCTTAGTATATGTAAGAAAATAAGTTATACAAATGACATTTCAATATACTCCTCACCCCTTCAACACACATCAAATTCAACCCATTCCCACAACAGCACACCCCTATCTTCCATCTCATATTTCATAGTATTTAGTCAAATTATATACAAAACAATTTTGAAATAATATATTTTGCACACAAAAATAAGCTTCTTCAAAACTATTTTACTTTGTACCGAACACACCCTTTAAGTGTCAATTATAGAATCTAATTAGTCGTTCTTAAGGAAATTGCATGTGAAATGTGTTTGCTATTCCTTTTCAAAGCATCCAAATCATAGGGCCTTTTTGTTTTGTTTTGGAAAAATTAATGCAATTAATATTATTTTGTATTCGATTGGTCGATATTTGTTAAATTCTTGTTGTTTCTGTTTTCTTTTATAACAACCACTAATTAATATTGTGTATTTGATTTTTTTCATATAAAGTATAATGTCACGTTTTAGCAATAAAGCAACGCTAGCTATTGTATATGGTACATTAGATTTAAAGAATCGACCTAGACTTATAATGCAGTTGTAACATATTTAGGAAAGACAACATAAAATCGGTAAGTAAAATAATGCAACAAAAGTGATATGTTAGAGAAACTTTCGTAATTTCCAAAAAGTAGAGTTCACATACGCAATTTTACTTTTATCTTGCAAAGAACGAAATGAAGTCTTTTTAATAGATCATCGACTCAAATACAGAGAAAATTTGTAAAGACAACATAAAACCAATAAGCACACTTCTACCCTTCGGATAAGTACTTTGTGATGAGAACATTGAGGAGGGTAAACTGTACGACATTACCTCTATCTTGTAAAAATAGAGAGGTTATTTTTAATAAATCATCGATTTAAAAACAGAGAAAACTGTGACGATAAAAAAAAGGTAAAGAACAAATGGCACGTGCAGGGAACAAAGTTTTCAGGACAAGTACAAATCCTAGTTATATACAAGTAATATCACTAGATCCTTGTATAATGCCCATAATTAAGTCCATGTTACAGGAACAATACAACGTGATACG